ACACTGACTTAGACACAAGGGAAGTGGGTTTTATCCTTGCTAGAGGAAACAATATGGTTCTACTTTTGACAATTCTTAACCTTCATTCTGAAATCATCTTCTCATATGCACAGATAATACTTTCTGCTATTGAAAAATTATATAAAAGGAAGCCACTTTAATCTTGGGGTGTATTCCCTGTAAGTAATACCAAATATTGCATATTTCTGTGACAGAAGTTTCAGTTGTTCTCAAATGCAGTTTTGAGGCAGCATCAAACTGCCTATTCTTTTTCAAGAAAAAATAAAACAATTAAAAAATCAAGCAAGAAGAATATCCTTAAGTGATACAATGGATATGGAGTCCACTGATCGAAGTCCCCCCTAGATTTTAGGAGTCTAGTAATGCGTTCTGCTAAAGTGAAAGCCTAAAGTTACTGTATCCTAAGGAAAAGAGGTAGGTGCCTTTAAAAGCTCTCAGGTGAGGAGTGTTTTTACATAACTTCAGTGCTTAAATTTAGTCAGAGAATGTTGTTTGCAAGGAGGCATAGTAGGAGTGCTATCTCCTGTTAAAAAGAGTATTTATAAAAGGTAGGAAATATTTTTATTTGTTATAAATAAATATTTATAGCCATTATTGTATTTTAATAAATATCATCTCAATTTTATATTAATATTTTTTCCAAAAAAATCAATCAAGAAATTATCTTTCTCAAACATGCATTTATTCAAAATATTTAATTTAATTTTCAGCTTTTCGTTTTATTTTCAGCTTATTGTATTTGCTGAGATTTTAATATTCACAAATTATAGCATTAGAATTAGAATAACTTTCTTACAATAAATTCTCAGTTATTAGCATAAACAGTTATAAATGACAGAGTGCTGTAGGATGAATAACGATGGAATTCCTTCAGTTCTATTTTTCTGCTGTTTTCTCATAGATGAATTTCAGCACTAACATGGAACAGTAAAAAACTGTGCCAGCTAGTATTGAACTGATACTACAGTCAGGACCCTAGAATTAATGTTTTAAGTACCTTATGATTAAAAACACAGCATATGTCCCCAAATACCGTAAATAAGAATTTAAAAGAAATTAAGCTTAGTTTATTAATCTTTTGTTTCTACCAAAAAGTTCTGCAATTCAAAATTAGCATTATTCTTTTTTGTTGTTTTCAAGAGCAGCTGGATATTGCACAGTTTTATTAGCCACCTTCATATTTTTTTTATATGGAGATGCTCATACTAACTTGAAGTAATTTTGTTATTTGTTTTGTGGACTTTCCAAATTCTTTTAGTCTTTTGGTGAGATATATTCTCTACCATTTTTGCAAGACAGTATTTTTCTTCTGATGCATCAAAATCAATCTCAAGAAATATTAGAGAAAAACGTCTTATAAATCCACCCACTGGATTTTAGGTTTGTGTTTTAGAAATAATTCTCCAAACATGTTTTGATGAGGAACCTGGAGATCCTTGTTAGCTCTCTTGCCTTTTTCCTTCCTTTCACATACTGCAATGATCTCAAGGCAAGGACTAAGGGCCAGTCTTCTAAAGAGGTTGCCAGAGCCTGGGAAAAGCTAACGGACTGCTAGTTACTCAGGAATCTAGTATAGGACTTCCATAGCACCTTGCATTTCTTTGCAATTCTCTTAAAATGGTAACATATACATCATATGTGAAAATGTGTTTCAAATTTGTTTGGTTGCTTATGTTCATTTGTTACATTTTTTTATTGTCAGTAAAGCATATTATTTTATCATTGCTTTCAGAGTGTGTGTCATATAATATGCGTATATTTTTATCTGTCAAAGGTCTTGAGTATTTGCATCACTTTTCAGCTCACTAAAGATGTCAAAATAGTAGGATTCATAAATGGTAAATAGATCTGCTGGTGGGTAGATAACTTCCACAGTGACCCCTCAGGAACCTCACACTGAGGCAGAAGACAGATGCTTGCTTTATGGTGACTGGACAACTGGAATGTCAAATAATTAATTGCTAAACAAAACAGAAAACAAAATTTAATATGCTTTGTCTCATACTTGTGATATATTAAGCTTTAGTCTTAGTACTTCATTATTCATTTGTGTATAATTTTCCTTTATTTTTCCTAGGATGACAAAGTGGTACCAGAGTTGAATAAGGGGTAGGAGGAGAGGCATTTGCTACAACAGAGCCATAAACAGCAGGCTGAGTAAAGAAACATACAAACATAGTTAAGGAATCACACAATCAAGATAGCCACTTATGACTAGAAACACAGAAAAAACAGGATCATTCCTATATGTCCACATTGTCTTTATTTCTTTAATTTCAACTTGGTTGAAAGGCTAAAAATAATCCCATTTGGAAATGTGATTTTGAGCAAATGGATAGTACCATTGATTTAAATCAGAGCAAGGGTTATCAGTGGCATATAACTTAAAAAGTGATATGGCATGAGCTTGGGCACTAGCGTTGAATCATACTGTTGATTTGTTAAAAGAGTTTCTGGCATTCCTTGCTCTGCAGTGATTAAAATCTGCAGAAAAAATGCCATACAAAGTCATTAACTAGAGTCAGTTCAGTTCCCAGTAAGTGACTTGGTTGTGCTACTCCATTTAAAACACCAGAGAGTTTAAGAGAGGGAATGTGGCCAGACTCTGCCAGATAGCCTCAGGGATAGAAAACAGGCCCTGACAAATTTAGTTATAAATTTAGATGTTGCCAGAGAGTCTCACTGACTTCAGTGGGGGAAGGTCCTCACCCACTATATCTGACCTATATTATTTACTTTCATTTTTGCTTATAGTCATGAAGCATAGAATTGTAATATTGAGGCTGTACTGATCCAAAGCTCAAGCTCTGGAAATCTGACTTAATTCTTTTCACACTAGAATCTTAGAAAAAGTATTTCAAAGTGATTTCCACCCTTGTGCCAGCAGGCCTGAAGCTTAAACAAGATTTCTGGAGAGGTGGAGGGCTAAGCTCTGACAAACTTTGCAACCATAAATCTGAAATCCTGTCTTAGATCTGAACTATATTAATTCATAAGTAACTTCAGACAAAGCATGCCTTTTCCACAAAGCCTTTAATATGTAGTCTGATCTTTGTAGTGATGTAAGCACTATTTAAAAATGCCTGAATTTCTTTCTAAGTACATTTCCATAAATGCTTCCACTAAAATACTGTCAGTATTGTGTAATACCTCCACACCTGAGTGTCTCCTCTGTCACAGTGTTCAAAGTCGGAAGTGTGCAATGGCAATGAATTTTTTCTGCTTTTTGTTGACTGCTGTGGTTGATTTTTCATTTAATATAGTTTGCCTATTGCTTCCAGTAAGCTTTTGAGGACAGAGAGCATGAACATTAGAAAAGAAGCCCTTTCCTCCATGAAAGCTGGAGAGAACTAAGTAGTGATTTCTGTCCCTCTTTCCAATGTATGAGAAATGGACCAAAACCCTGTGAAAATGGAAGCAGGAGAGGGATGGACAGATGGACAGACTGTGCATTCTTAACAATTTCCTTTACTTAGGCATGCAAGCTAAAAGTCCCTGTACCTAACAGTCTTGAAATTTCATCGAGAAACACTTATAACACTTATACACTTCATCGAGTATAGTTCTCTTATTCTAAATTGCTATTCATTGAGTTATGTCTCCTGAATAGGAAAATATTTGCTAAAGAAAATAATGTAAAATATATCATGTAATTATGTATTTTATTTCTTAACATATGCTTCAAAAATGTTTAAGTACTTTTGTGTTGAAGCATGTAGAGAAGAGATTATCTTATGTGAAGTAAAAGAAATTGTAGTAAATTTATTAGGAAGTACGAAAGGGATTTGTGTAGCATGCAAGATGAAATTCAAGATGTATTTTAATCTGGTTCAACCAGGAAAACTCTACAGGTAAAATCTTTTCATTAAATTTGAAGTTACTAAATTCAATGGACTTCAGCCAAAATCCACTTGCTCTTTTAAGTCCCAATAACTTAAACAGGACTTAAACTGAAAAATGACAAAAAGATATACAATTTTAAATAATCCACAGGGGAAAAAAATCTCTTTTCTGATATTCCCTTGGTG